TTAGACCCTATCTCGGGTTCGTTTTCTTTTTCGAAAAATGTGCTTTTCTTCTCAAGATATACGAAAAATGCCGAAGGCCAGTGAACAAAAACTGAAAAAATCTGACTTTTTTTGCGTGATTTCCAACATTTTTCCTATATCTTGAGAAGGAAAGCATATTTTTCGAAAAGAAAAAAAGACCTGAGATGGGGTCTAAAGTAAAATTTTGAGCTCGATCGGACCATTTTTTCGGGGGGGTCGTAATGAGGCCTGATGAAAACTGGAGTTTTCCAGAAAACCCATATAAGAACATCTCAGAAAATTTTGGGCAAAAATACATTAACTTTTTTTTTCGATGTTCTATCTTTGCTACAAATTGGACCTCAATCGGACGTGAGCTCCGCATTTGGCAGCAAGATGAAAAAAAAGGGAGGGTATCCTTAATCAAACATCCCACAACGGGAGATCGTTTTATTATAAGAAGTTTCATTAAAAGAATGTTCAAAATATAACATCAATCGTCAAAAGCCACCTGAGCATTTAAGTTCGATTCCATCCTGACCTAATCTACGTGGTATTCGACATATTTTATCAACATCACATAGACCTTAAACCAACTGTCAAGCAGAACGATTTAATGCTATATTTGTAACCCGGTTAGTCAAATATTGTTCGCAAGAAGAAGAAGATTGGAATGAACAAGCACAAAGTAATCATTCCATCGCGAACAGGAAGAGAAACAGGATAATCAGTGTTGCGCGACATCGTAATGACTACGTTTCGTAAAGGGTGAATAATATGAAAACCAAGAAATCATGAAAATATAAATATTAGTTTGAGAAATACATTTACACCACTCAGCCAGCCAAAGCATGACAGATGCAAGAAAAAAAACCCGCTTGGGACCAGAAAACTTTTAAGAGTGATAAGGCCGAGTTGAGCTCGGTTCCGAAACTTTCGTCAGCATTTTGCCAAAACTTTTCGACTCGTGTGGATCTCACGATAAGATAGAACATGCCAAAAAATAGTCATTTTCTTTCACAAAATTAAAACGCGTACTTACGGTGATGTGCTTCATCTGGATTTGTCATTTCTTGTGTACCTCTTAATTTACCATTAATCCATAATTCTTGTTTTTGACGACTGACACGTACAACAATATGATACCATCTGTTTGCTTCTATATCAGGTTCAGTTGTTTCACAACAAAACTGTTCATCCGATATAACAACTTGACTTTGCATATAACCTCTGGAAGCACCACCTACGTAACAAAAATAAATGTTTGTAACAATCAAACTAAAAACTGAAACCACCTCTCTTTGCTGCACATAAGAATGGGGGAGCTTCTTCCCTTAAACATGCTCTCAAACTGAGCTGGTTTCTAGAAAACACCTTCAATGGTATGCCAATAAAATGTGGTCAAGTATTGATTGTGTTATTAATTAATTAAGTTTAAATTCGAATTAAAATTTGAATTGCTAGTCCCTCTTTTGGAAAGCTTGCAATTTGATCAAAAATAAATTGTAAACGCGTCGTTCTTGTGTAGCTGGAGAGCCAATGATCTATGGTTATAGTTTCATAAAAAAGATCTGAGTTAATAAATTAAGGTATGAGATTATAATTAATAAGTGCTAATTAATGCTGACTAGAGTCACTCTGGGACATTATACTTTATTTGTAAGTTACTGATTTCTTTATGATCGCGAAGGAATGTATCATTTGATAGAGATTTTCAAGCGGTACAAAAGCCTGTACTTGTTGATAGATCGCTCAAAATGTTTCCTAAAGATTGATTGCTATGCGAGACCCTCACTTCCAGTCGTTCATGTGCGGTATCGAATTTCTTTCGAGC